AGTCACTGTGCGAGAGGCAGGGGACACCCTGGACAGGTCTCCAGTCCATCAAAGTCCATATATACATTTATATATATGTATGTGAAGGGGATGAGACTTAACATATATACCAGGACCATCCAATGGAGACACTGGTTCCATTCTGGCTTCAACTTCCAGGTTCCCATCAGATGTCTAAGAATATATTAGTGGTGAAGGCTGAGAACCCTCAAATGCCTGCTCATAAATTTGCTTTTTGCTTTTTTCATTTTTAGACAGACTGAAATCTCATTTTTTTTGGTTTTTGACACAAAATCTACTGTGAATCTATGTCAGAGACTCTTTGTACTTGGACATCAAAGTGACCCAAACTGAGAAACATGGAGGTCTGAGTCTAGAATTTTAAAATCAAAATGTGTCAAAGCTATGAAGAAGGCATGTTTGGGTTGATCAGCTGGTGTGTTTTATGGGCTGATACATTTTTCACTGAACACTGTTGGAGTGAGCACACACCAACTTCATATAACCTTTTGTGATTAATGTTATTTGGCCCCTTTCAAACCAGAAACATTTGTTGTCTTGTCATGTTCTGTTTAAGGGCTGTATAGTTTAATGCAGAATGTGTAAGAATCAAAAACATGAATGGATGAATCTCCCATCAGAGAATATTCAATTTGATAATTGTTTTGGAATTTATGCTCTCTGTGGATATTTATATTTGCCATGATTCCATCAAACTTTATATTTTATTTAATTTACTCTTTCTATTTACAGCAGAGCTCACTGAGTTATTTTCTGAGAACAAAGTTTTGGTTTTCCAGTCTGAAATTAGCATTGTTTCATAATGTCTGTGTTAATATATTTACTTTATTTAATTATAAAAACTTCTCATCAAGCTCATACTAAGCAGCTGTCTCTTCACTCCTGCAGGGTGATCGTGGTGAGCTCGGTCCTCCTGGGCCCGCTGGCTTTGCTGGACCTCCTGTAAGTAAAAAAATCTTCATGATTGCTGCTGTTTGTCCAATTTAAACCTGTAAGAAGACATAATGGCTCACGTTACTGTTCTGAATAATGTTTAGGGTGCAGATGGTCAGCCTGGTGCCAAGGGAGAGCACGGTGAGTCCGGACAGAAGGGAGAAGCTGGTGCCTCTGGACCTCAGGGACCATCTGGAGCTCCTGGACCTGTGGTGGGTATTTCAGGCAAAAATAAATACCAGGAAAACAAACACACGCTGCAGAATATTACACAGGTATTCTTTGTTGTGCTCCAGAGTGACAGGTGTGGATCATGAACATTATGGTTGTTCCTTTCTTTAGGGACCTACTGGCGTATCTGGACCTAAGGGAGCACGTGGTGCTCAGGGACCTCCTGTGAGTAACTTCTCTGCACCTCATTTAGAGGAAATCTTTTAACTCTGAACCATGAGTGGCTGATTTGGTCATTTTTGAACTCACTGGTTGTGTAAGAGCATTATGATGCTGCTCAGTTGAGCTCCACCGTTCTTTATGCCATCTAAATTTAATTTAAGGCAGTCTGATCAGATCAGATCCTACTGTACATTATACATTATATATTATAAACAACGCCATGTTAAGGCTTTAACGTTAGAAATTGGCCTGAACAATAAATAATGTGGTGTATCCAGAAGACCTGCAAGAAGACGCTGGTACATGTCACATGACCACAGACAATCCCAGAAATTTAGAAGCCAGTGTCGAGGCTCATTTTGCACTAAAATCAATTACATTAACTCTAAAACAATTAAAATTAAAAGCAACATGACAGTAACATAACAGCAGGACTTCTCCCATTTTAGCGCAAAACAAAAGGATACATTTGAATTACACTAAATATATTCAAAAACTTAATTATGAAAAGCTGTGATTTATTCCTTTCTTAAAATAGAAAGTGATGATTTAATATTCTTACCCAATTTAAAGCAAACAAATATCATTCTAGTTAATCTAAAAAAGTGATTAAACATTTCTGTGAACAGATCAGGCAGAGGCTTTTTTAAATTTACTCTTCTGACTGTTGAGAAAAATAATTGTGAAAAGTTGTCAGACAAACTGGACAAACAACAAATTTACATCAAAAACTTTAATTTTTCTAACACCCTACAGTCTGTGAGCGATTCTGAGGCTGAATCTGTTTAACTGAACGCTGCTTTTGTTATTTAACTACTGACTTTATGGGACTACCCGCAGACAAAAGACAATGTCCCCCGGTACATATTTAAATACATTATATTCACTTAATAACTAATCACTAAAATCATTAAAGTCATTAAAACTTTATTTCTACGTATGCTTTGTTTATTAGCCATTTATTGGCTTTGTTGTACTATTTTCACGTTTTTATGTGAGTACTCCATGAGTACACAGACGTGCTTATTTACTATTTTTTCCCTTTCTCTTTGACAGGGAACCACTGGTTTCCCTGGTGCTGCTGGTAGAGTTGGATCTCCTGGTCCTAATGTGAGTATTTTTTTAAACAACTTAGACAAAAACACGAGTTTAAATTTATTTATGTTGCTAACTTGTGAGTATTTCATCCCTTATATAGAATTGTATGTGCTTCCATTGAAGGGTAACCCCGGTTCTGTTGGTCCTGCTGGCCCTGCTGGTAAAGACGGTCCAAAGGGTGTACGTGGCGATGCCGGGCCTCCAGGCAGAGCAGGAGACGCAGGCCTTCGTGGACCCGCCGGCCCTCCAGGAGAGAAAGGAGAGCCTGGAGAGGATGGACCACCTGTGAGTTTGACGACCAAACCTCATTAAGATGCTCAGAGAAAACCTTCTTTTGTCCATTATGTTTGCCTGGTTTTCACAGAAAGTGGACCCTTTTTCAAACCAGGCCAAGTTATCTCTGTTTCTGTTCCTCCACAGGGTTCTGATGGGCCTTCAGGTCCTCAGGGTCTGGCAGGATCTCGTGGTATTGTTGGTTTGCCTGGTCAGCGTGGAGAGAGGGGCTTCCCTGGCCTCCCTGGACCTTCTGTAAGGGCTTTTTGTTGTTGCTAGCTTGTTTTAGTTTCTTTGCTAGCTGTGTGGAGGATTCAGTTCAGATCAATTCTACAGATCTCGATGTCCATGAACACTTTTTAAACTTACATCATTAACACATCTAACTGTGCGTCACGTGTCTGAACTGTAGTTTTATTGAAATTCTAACATATTTTTGGGCATTTATCGAAGGAGCTGCTGAAATGTGAAGACAATGTTTCCTGTGTGTTCAGGGAGAGCCTGGCAAACAGGGAGCCTCTGGTGGTGCTGGTGACCGTGGACCTCCTGGACCTGTAGGACCTCCTGGACTTACTGGACCTGCTGGAGAACCAGGCAGGGAGGTCAGCGCTGTCCACCAACAACCAAACAGACTTATTTACTAAACTGGAAATAACATTAGCAACATAACGTTTCATAATACACACACAAAAAAAGTGTTTTTGTGTCTCAGGGCACTCCTGGGTCAGATGGACCTCCCGGTAGAGACGGTGCTCTTGGAGTCAAGGTGAGAAGGTTCAGCTGCTCAGAAAAATGCTGAAATCTGTCAAATAAGAGATTTTTATGAAGCAAGTCGGAGTGGAAACAGTTCTTGTTCCTCATCCTCACTTTGTGTAGGGAGAGCGAGGTAACACTGGACCTGCTGGCGCTCCTGGAGCTCCCGGAGCTCCTGGTGGACCTGGACCTGTCGGACCTCTCGGCAAGCAGGGAGACAGAGGAGAGGCTGTAAGTAATATTATACTCTGTAAGAACCACAGACTGAAAGTTTGATACGCTTACTTTGAACACAAGGAAACATCTATAATCCCTGTGTCTTTCTCAAGGGCGCTCAAGGACCTGCAGGACCCCCAGGACTAGCTGGTGCACGAGGAATGGCTGTGAGTATCATCATCTCTGACGCAACAATGTTCATTTATATTTGACGAAATTACATAAAAGTGCTACACCCATTTACTTTTCTTCAGGGACCCCAAGGACCACGTGGAGACAAAGGAGAGGCTGGTGAGGCTGGAGAGAGGGGTCAAAAGGGTCACCGTGGCTTCACCGGTCTGCAGGGTCTTCCTGGGCCCCCAGTAAGTGATCTAACAGGTCATTTTGCAGCAGTAGCACCATTTTAAAATGTGTTCTCTAAAATGATCTTGTCCTCATCCTGACAGGGTCCTGCTGGAGACTCTGGAGCTTCCGGACCCGCTGGACCAAGTGGAGCGAAGGTGAGTCAACTGAGAGAAATAAAGGCAGCTCATTCCTGCAGCTTTTTAACCGTCAAGAAATGTAATAAGACAAAGTTAGTCTCTTTGTAATCCTTCAATCACAAGATAAAGACGAGGACAGGAAAGGCCGCCTGTTTTAATTATCCACCTCTGAGATAAGATGGCAACCAAGACGTTTTGTAATTACTCTTTTTGAGGAAAAGTGGCAGACAGACGGAGAGGACCGTGATTTGTGAAACAACCCCTGCCGAGATTGGAAAATAGGCTTTTGCGTCTAGTCTAGATTAGCTAAGCCGTGTGCATGATAAGAGAAAAATGAAGGGAAATGTCAGCACACAAATTATCTTCAGGTGTCAGAAGGTTCTGAGGTTGACGGAGAGAAACTGCTCGTAGATTAAATTTAGTTGTATCACATAATTTTCATATCCAGACTAAAAGGTGGATGTAGTTAGACAAGTTCAATGAAGCAGTTTTGTCAATACAGAGCTACTCTGTGTGTCTGTAGGGACCACCTGGACCAGTTGGACCCGCTGGCAAAGACGGATCCAATGGGCAACCTGGCCCCATCGGACCTCCTGGACCTCGTGGACGTTCTGGAGAAACTGGTCCTTCTGTAAGTAAAAAGAAAGTGTACAGCCGTCAGATGCTCCTTTCTATTCCAGTCAGGTCTCATGTCCTATTTGTGCACCTTTTTCAGGGTCCTCCTGGTAACCCTGGACCCCCTGGTCCTCCTGGACCACCAGGCCCAGGCATTGATATCTCTGCCTTTGCTGGCCTGGGTCAAACTGAGAAGTCCCCCGATCCTCTCAGGTACATGAGGGCAGACGAGGCTTCCAGCTCCCAGAGGCAGCATGATGTTGAGGTCGATGCCACACTCAAGTCCCTCAACAACCAGATCGAGACCCTGCGCAGTCCTGACGGCACCCAGAAGAACCCTGCCCGCACCTGCAGAGACCTCAAACTGTGCCACCCTGAGTGGAAGAGTGGTCAGTAGAGCGAGCATCAGACCGAACATCAGGCTTCTTGTCTTATCTAACCACTTCTTTCATCTCCCCAGGTGATTACTGGGTTGATCCCAACATCGGCAGCACAGCGGACGCTATTAAGGTCTTCTGTGACATGGAGACAGGAGAGACCTGTGTCTACCCAAGCATCGCCAAGGTACCAAGGAAGAACTGGTGGACCAGCAAGGGCAACGACCGCAAACACGTCTGGTTCGGAGAGTCCATGAATGGAGGATTCCACGTAAGTCCAATAAATACTTTGTATGTAAGAGACTAATGAATATGGAATATAACCCCTTTTTTATTTGGTCCACAGTTCAACTATGCCCAATCCGGCCCTGCTGCCATCGCTGCCAGCGTCCAGCTCACCTTCTTGAGGCTTTTATCCACTGAAGCATCCCAGAACCTCACGTATCACTGTAAAAACAGCATTGCCTACATGGATCAGGCCACAGGAAACCTGAAGAAGGCTTTGCTGCTGGAAGGCTCCAACGACGTGGAGATCCGTGCGGAGGGCAACAGTCGGTTTACTTACAGCGTGTTGGAGGACGGCTGCAAGGTGGGAGCAAAATATTAACCAGAAACAATACTTTTTAAATTTTATAATGAAGCTGTTGTAACAAATGCATTTATTTTGACCAACAGAGTCATACAGGCCGGTGGGGCAAGACTGTCTTTGAGTACAAAACACAGAAAACCTCCCGTCTGCCAATCGTAGACATTGCACCTATGGACATCGGAGGAGCAGAACAGGAGTTCGGAGTGGATGTAGGCGCCGTCTGCTTCTTGTAAAACGGAGCATCAAAACAAGCCCCCCTAAACGCAGGATATAAATAAGATAAAAACTCAACCGTGAAACATCACACACTTCCACATTAAAGAAGACTGGAAATTACAAAAAAAAGAAGAAAAAAAAAGAAAATTGATTCATTTTCTCACACAACGAAGTGCTCTCCAAGTTGTACTTCCTGGATGTGAGCACTGAAGGGCACCGGCAATATCTGTACACCACACCTGCATTCTCTGTCAACCCCACCCACCTCCCCTTTATGAGATCCAGTCATGTTTCCCCCGCCCCCGTGGCCCAGCTGTTGAAGGAGTCTGAGCCAGGAGAACGTGGGACCGAGCAGACGTGTTTTGGAGAATGGAAACATGACTTGATGTCACTTATTTATTGTCTAAACCTGAGCGGGTTGAGTGAGGTAGGACTGGACGGGTTCACTTTTTGTGAGGAACACAAGCCCCCACCCCTTCACCTGTTTCCACTACAGAACAGCTGCACCACCGCTGACCCGGTCCTACGCCACCTCCCTCCCTGTTCCCCCTCCCCGACTCATAAATACATTTTGAATCAGTGTAGATAAAACCAAAGTAGGTAAATTCAACCAGGAGCCCCAGGCCTGTCCATCATGAGCAGGAGCAGAACACCTTACTGTGTATTATAAATGTTTGGTTCTAGTGTTGTAAAAGTCTGTTTATACACAACCAGATGGTTTTTTTTATATATATTTACACATAATTTGTGTACATGTGTCTGTATGCACGCCAACACTTTTTTTCTTTAAAGAAAGTGAGGTGATGTTTGGGATGAGTGTTAAACTGCCCATCAACAAAAACAAAATTAAAAAAAGGCACAGCTCGCATAAAAAGAGAAACGATTAAGATAAATTTAGAAGAATTAAAAAAAAAAAATTGGTTTCTTGTGTCGTCATCTTGATCGTTTAAAGCTACCTCACGGTAAAAACGAAAAAAACCTAAAGTTTTAAGTCGACCGAGACGTCAGCTTTCAGAGGGTTCTGGGGCATTTCTTTTTGTTTTGGGATGTTCTTTTCTCAGAAGGTGCTATGAATCCTCCGTACCCCGTCTCCCTTCAAACCCTCCCATGCTTGATTCCCACTAGCCTCACACCACACGCTCACACTCCACCCTGGAGGAGGTGAGACAAAGGGCTACCTGGAGGCCTCCTCCTAACCCCCCCGCCCCACCCACACACAGCTGGGACTCTGAGGACAGTCGCTCGAAAACTAAACCAGGGTGGGTTGTTGTCTCTGTGTGTGAGGGCATGTACATTTTTTTGAATAAATTTTATTCTGATAATTGTTGTTCCTGTTTTGTTACACCTCTAATTGATGTAAATTGGAAAATAAAAGGAAAATCTAATTCAGAAAAACATGATTTTTTTTTCTTAATTTTTTAAAATATTTTATTCGTTGAAATTTGAATAAAAACAGAAATGGTGCGGGACGTATTTCTTCTTTCATCAAAAATAACTTGTGCATAAACTGTATATTTTTCTCAAACCTGTAGCTCATGAAGTCAGTTATTGTGTGTGGGTGAGTGCATGTGTGAAGGTTTAATGCCACGAAGTGTGTGAGAAATAAAAGGGACACCAATAAAAGGACTGAAATCACACATTTTACAGTAGGTGTACCAAACAGCTGCATGCCTCTCTGCCCTTAGTTGTCAGCTCTTAGGCGCTCATAATCTATTCAGATATTCTGCTCATCATTTAAAACGAGTTACAAAAGATAAAGAGAGACTTCAGATCAAAAGACAGACAACACAGATCAGCTGCATGGCACATATTCAAATCAAAGATCTGACTTTCACGCCAAAGTTTTCAGCTAAAATCATCAGATGCTGTGTAGGGACAGAGGAATGACAGTGACAAACCTTGAAAATGACGTTGTGTGGTCTCATAAGGTATTTTGCAGAGGTGGAAAGAGTACTGAAAATGTGTACTCGAGTACAAGTACTGTTACGATGCTTAAATTGTACTCAGTAACAAGTAAAAGTACTGGTGTTAAAAATACTTAAGTAAAAGTACAAAGTATGCTTCTCAAAAACTGCTCAGAGTATTAATTACTTTTTAACCAACTGATGTTTTATTGTGTTGTCAATAGAAGTCATTCAGTTTGATTTACTGTATATAATAAATATAAATATAATTGCTTCATTCAAAGCACATTTCTCAGACGCTCAGAAGCTTCATCTTATTTTAGTACCAGGCAAACCGATGGCAGTGACAATATCTAAGATCTTTGCATACTTAGCCAAACTAATAACCCACACATACAAATAATAATAAAAAAACATTATCATACAAGTAGCCATAAAACCTTGTATACCGTAATGTTTTTGAGATTAGATGCTGAAGTCTTGTAAGCTGCTGTCACCGTAGAGATCAAACAAAGTTTACATCTGGACGTCGTCTCCTTTTCATCCTCTGTACGGCCACGTGCACTCGTCCTCAGCCTTTACCACCTCATTTTCTCTGTTGACAGTGTTGTCCTGTCTCCATTTTGGCTTTTTCTCCAAATCTTCTGTCCATAAATGACTCTCTACTCTACGGAGTTGTCCTTTGCTTACGTCATAGGTAATTGGCGTGTTCACAGTTTGAGTCTTATTGGCTACAAAGATGCAGATGAACGGTTTGAATATTAATTCAAATTGCGGCCATAGTCAGTAGCGACATGATTTCAAAAGTAGTCAAGTAGATTACATGGTCTAAATTGTACTTAAGTATGAGTAAAATTACACTTGAAAGAAATACTCATCTACTTAATTATAGTAATGTATTTGTAATTCATTACTTCCACCCCTGGTATTTTGCTAACAGACGGGTACCGTTGACACCAAAGTTTTAAAAGCAGCTCTCCCACAATCAGTCAGTGCTTAGAGTATGTATAATGACTCTCAGCTACTACCACGCTAAATATGAGATCAATGTTTGTCAAATTTGAGTTGGAGCCAAGTTTTGAGTTTGCTGAAGTCAATTAACTGTGGCAGACATCTTGAATGGGGTTGACCCAAATAGTTAACATGAAGAAGTACATAGAAATATTACTTTCTGAAAGTTTAATAGAGATCCGTCCTCTGGTTCACGAGATATTTTGCCAAAGCAACAAATGGACACAAAAACCTTTATCGCCCTTTCGCCTTCAGGCGATAAGCTTCTTAAATCAGCCATCGTTTTGTGTATTTTACTTTGTTTTTAAGGGGCGGCTGTGGCTGAGTGGTTAGAGCAGTCGTCCTCCGATGGGAGAGTTGGGGTTCGATTCCACCAGCAGTCACATGCTGAAGTGTCCCGGGGCAAGACACCAAACCCTTCATTGCCTCTGATGTGTGTCCCATCCGTGTATGAATGTGATCTAACTAAAGCACTGATCGTATCTCCAGATTGAGATTATTTCTGTAAGATCTAGTAGAGTGCTGTGTGGATGTGGAGGTAAGTGAGGGCACAGATTGTGTTGTTTCAGCTTCTTCAGTAAATTCATTCATTGCATTTCCAGATAATTCAATGTCTCTCGTTTGCTTTGGATCTTTGACAAAGAAGACAAAGACACTGGAAGAACCTTCTACACGACTTTATTAACAATTTATGACAAAGACGATGTGGGGTTGTGGAGCTGGTCAGTCAGGAGAGGAGCTCTGTAAACAGTGTCTGATTGGACATGTCAGCAGGCTTGTCGTGTGGGTGAGGCAGTGGACTCCCACTGAGGCCAACATGGGGGAGGGAGGTGCTCAGGAAGTAGAAAGGCACGTGAGTGATTCTTCCGCTGGACCAACACTGACAACAGAAACATTTAAACCATAAGTAGGTTAAACTTTCAAACATTTGTTGAAAACAATAAATGTCGCTTTGTCTCTGAAGTTATGCTGCTCTGATGGTTGAAGCCACTAATCCACCAAAACACACCGAAAAACGTTTTCAGGTAACACTGACCACAGTAAGGAGAGCTCCATGACGGAAATTTGGGTGGAACTGCATCAACCTCGGCTCAGTGCCCGGCTCCCCTTGAACAAACCCACTAAAACAAGAGTGACCAGTCAGTGCTGCGGGTAGGAAACAATAAAACCACAGCATCGCACTAACAAACTACACACCAGGGTAAAAGCTCAAAGATGGGGTTGGTTCTCGTTTTAAAGACGGCGATGATTGCGGGTCGGTTTGCTGCTTGTGGATCACCTGAGGGGACGAACGAGAGTGAGATGAGTCATTCGAACCTAAACTCTGGTCAGGACAAACAAAAGAAAAGAGCGACCTTTAAGAAGCACAGCGAGCCGCTCGCCTCTGGGATCCCAGGCTACAGACTGAACCTCTCCACCAACGCTGGCAAACACACAGAAGAGAGAGGCTGAGAGACACTCTGGACAAGATTTATTCCACAAAACAAAAAATCTTTCAAATGATAAAAGTTTGTACTTTGAAATACATGGAAGTAAAAAAATAAATAAATAAATACCTTAAATGCATGGGACAAACAAAACACGAACAGATGTCGCAAAGTTTCACGTAAATCTACTCGCAGTGCCACCTGTGTAGGATGATTTTCACCAATTTGTGTGGATGCAGTAATAAAATATATTTGCAAATTGTGGCTTTTGTGGAAAAACAAACGTGGATAAATTTACAGGTACTTATTCACAATAATCCATCGTCCTGAGTCTTCTTCCGTGGAGCTCATTCTGATTCAAAACGTGGCGTACCTTGACCTTGAAGCTCGACTTGGATGGTTTCCATGGCTCTTTATATGCCACTATCAGACTGCAACACGGGGTTGCATTTTGTATTGCGTCCATGCCCAGAGAGGTTAGCTCCAGTCCAATAACCCTTCTGCTTTAAATAATATTGGCAGCTGTGGTCAGAGGAACATGAAGCTTCACAGAGATGGTCTTTTTAGCTTTGATCTTTAACATGAATTCCTATCATCTTTTTTCTGAGCTCCTCAAGCGGCTCTGGCCTTTGTTTTCTCTGCTCCATGTTCAGTGTGGTCACACAACCATAGCAAACTACACAGTGGTTGTTTGCTCTCTAAATAGGCTGAATGGGTGATGAACTATACTGCGATACCGTTTAAGGTCAAACACAACTATAACGCAAAGATAAATAGTGTTTTAAAGAAGAGGTCCCCACTGCCCTGGCCCTCGTGACCCACTGTTCTACAAGTTTTAGCCGTTTCCAGCTTCAGCACACCTGATTCAAACACTTAAATTACCAACTCAGACTGTCATCAAGTTTAGCAGAAGCCTGTTAATGACTCGTTCATTCCAGTCAGATGTGTTGAAGCAGAGAAACGGCTAAAACCTGCAGGGCAGTGGGCCACGAGGAGCAGGGTTAGAGACCTCTTTCTTAAAGGGTACTAACAAATCCTTTATTGTTTTAGCACTCTTTAAACAAACGATGGCCAGGAAGTCATTTAATGATGCCCTCTTACATGATGTCTCCATCTGGTGTTTTAAAGGTTGTCTCTGACAGGTCAGCCACAACAGCTGCAGCCTGCAGCCCTTTGCTTGTTGGTACGCCTGAAGAAAACATATTTTTTAAATTACTCTTTAATAAGACAAGCTACTTGAAGTTACCAACATTTTCAGGCATCAGTGTGAGTTCATTGTGCGCCAACTTCACCTGGTGCTCCAGTGAAGGTCAGAGCGTAAATAACAGTCTCTCCTTGAACAGTGAAAAGAAGCCGACTTCCATCTGGACTCCAGCAGCCGGACTGAACAGTTCAACACATAACTTAGACAATATTCTGTCACGTATAAACGAACAAAGAGTTCAAACACAATAAGTTTCCACCTGGCAGCGTCCGTTTATACATGGCCAGCGCTCACAGGTCCACATCCTGGTCTCCCAGACCCTAAAAAATAATTTCATTTATTTTTTACCTACGTGGAAGAGCTTTCTACGACACAAATCCTTCACATGTTCAAAAATATTTATGAAAATAGAATGACCCTCTGGCAGTACATGAGCATGGGTTTATATTTAAAAATGTGATACAGTAGAGTTAAAATGGAGGAAGCTGCTGATGTCTGGAGTTATAGGACCTGAACAAAGCAGATGGTGTGGAAGCCAGGACGTGGCTGCTGTCTGGTGACCAGGACAGGAAGGTGACGCCACCTCCTCCGACACGCTGAAGGGGCACACAGCTCTCTGCAGCCACATCCCAAACCAGCATGGCCGTATCCATCGGCGAGGCCGACAAGAGGAGGGACCCGCTTGGAGACCAGGCGATGGACGTGACCGGAGAGTGTCCAGGATGAGACAAAACCTGAGCGCAACCTGACGAAGGCCTGAGCAGGTCGAGAGAGACAAAGGTGGATTAAATCAAAACTGCAGCTCAGGATTGTTTAGTTTTAATGTTGCTGCAAATTTAAAGCAAGAAATGGAAGTTTAATGTAATTTATTTCATAGAAATAAAACTTTAATTGTTAAAAAGGTTATTCTACGTTGAGAAATTATGAACTGTAATGTTCTGGTCAAACCTGGAAACTTATGTGAGAGCTCATGCTCGGAGTATTTGTTGTGTATGACTGTCAGCTACTACCACAGTTTAGCTCAATATCTATAAAACTATTATTAAATCTGTTTATAGTGTTGGATAGTATTAATGAGCTGTGATGGCCTTCTTGTCATTTTTAGTCTTTAGTATTTGAATTCACCTCTTAGTGAGCGATAATTAACATTTTTTGACACACTGCAATGATTCTTTTCTGTAAAGATCATTGTATTGCTTACATCTACAGACCTTTGCTGGTAATTTATTTTATTTTATTTTTTAAAGCAATCAAAATTATAATTTTTTATTCACTATTTATAACCAATGAAAATGTCAGTTTATAAAAAAATGTAAACTCAATTTAAACAAAAGTGACAAAATACAAACATTTTTGTCCAGTTTTCAGATTTTAAACAACCTTAATATTCAGCTGATAAATCAAAGACTTTAATTAATATTTGTAATATTTTCTATATCAAACAAAGGAATGGACATCCAACAGCAGTGTCTATATTTTATAAATTTGGCAAGAAAAACATCAAAGCTCTTAATAATTGTAAAGAGACCTGAAGGTGGAAACTTAGAAAGTCGTCCTACTTTTGTGGGACAGATGTGACCCAAGCACCATATGATCAAGATGAACAAAGTCGGCCCTTTAACTGATGATGTCATCAGTCAGGAACTGACTTCATGCTGAACCGCTGAGACTGGAAATGTGCAGTTTCAGAGTCAATCTATTGGAAAGATGAACTTCATGATTACTTGTTCTAACGTGCCCTGGATGGGAACATCAACATCTTTCCTATATGGATCAACAAGTTTGGGTTGGACCCATGACCACGGACCGGATTATTTTGCATAATCATAAGGAGGAGGAGGAGGATGTGAGTTTATCCTCTTTGTCATGTAAAGAGGAGCTGCTAAGTTTTATCTTTATTTGCACAATAATAAACAGTAAACAAAAAATTGCAAACCAGTGGAAAGAAGGTATTTCAGTGTGTTCTACTAGTAAATGCACTTGCATTATCTTAGTCACAAATTGTATTTTTAATCTTTTATATTGACAAAATTATGTAGTTTGTACCGTGCACAATACTTTTTTTAAAAATATTTTTCCCTTTTAACAGCATTTGCCTACAAACCACAAACCTAATGTGTCTCCTGGGTGTCTTTGTGTCTGTTGCAAGACTTCTCTTAAATTTTAATCTGCTGGTTCTGCCTGAGTATAACTAAAACACACAAGTTGAAGTAAATAGAGTCTTAAGGGTACTCCCTTCCTGTTCTCAGACTCAAAAGCCTCAGAGAGGAGTGAAAGGGGAGTCTTGGGGCTGACTGGAGATGCTGGCTCTGATGGCAAGCTGCGTCCTTGCTGAGTCCCCGAGCTGCTGCTTTGCCAACAAAGCAGTGAATTGCAGTTTTTTTTTTGGCCTCGTAGCATTTAGGCAGTTTCTAGTTAAAACCCTGGTAATCCTGTGGATTTTTCATAGTAATGTGATGCTGTTTCCAGTCTGGACTGTTCTAGTGAGTGAAAATGGGTTCAGATTCCTAGAAATGACCGGATCACGGACGGGTGGAAATGCTCTTTGGGTTTTGGTTCGTGGGAAGTTCTGATTAAAGACGTCTGATCTCCCTTCCTTTCTCTTTATTTTAAAACTCTAAGCATGTTTTTTTATATATATAAATACTCTTAAAGAGCCAGAGAGGCCCTGGATTCAACACACCTGGTGGACAGTGAGCAGGGGTCCACGTGCCACACCAGTAAACAGTTCTGGCAGGCGACGGCAAGATCAGACGCACACAGGGGCTTCCACTGCATCGCCGCAACGTTCTTCTGCAGACGGTGCTTCAGTGTGGGTGTTATGGCACTGAACAAAGAATTAAGAACGATACGATAAGAAGCACAACTAGAAAATAAAAACAGGAAGCACTTCAGCTATGAACATCTGCCTTAATCTTAGCACCACTGAGCTCTTTTTGAAGGTTTAGTTGTGGTACCTTTTGGGATTGTAGATCTTGACGGAGTCATCCAACAAGGCGACAGCAAATTTATCAGTGTGAGGATGCCAGGCGAAGGCTCGCACCACACAGTCAGACCTGGAAACACAGATCAGTGCTTTAACAAACCAAAACAAAGATTGAAAACGTACAGAAATATTACACGTTTACTGAGCTGTGCTGAGCTTCTACTAGTTGCCCTTCTTGTTACAGATTATTTTAATGACAAATACTTGAATCGGTATTCAGAATACAAAAACACATTTTATGTGAATCATTATCATCATGAATTGAAAAGGAGTGAATATGAATCATGAAGCCAAGATGCAACTTGTCTGCTGGATTTCGTAGACAGAGAACTTTACTAATTGGCTTTTATGTTTGTGAATGTTCCTGTAAAGTGCACTGAGACAACTTTGTTGTGATTTGGCGTTATATAAATAAACTGAATTGAATTGAGTGAATTGAAAAGGAGGCGACGTGAATGCATTTCCATCTCCTTGCCGGCTGTGTTCAAGTGCCTGACCACTGAGATCCTGGAACTGGCAAGAAACATGGCTTGTGACAGCAGAAGGATCGGGATCGTCCCCTGGTCGGCTGTCCGCAGCGATTAGGAGCTTAGCAGGCTGCTGGAAGGCATGGTCATTGGTCTGGGAGGAGTTCAGCCCAGCATTCACGCAGGACAGCAGCCCAGGGGAACCGAGAGTCCAGCCGAGTCTGGGTGGACAGATCGGAAGGCATCTGCGGCCAGTTTCTTTGGATCCACTGTGGGACGGACCTTCCTGTTTACAGCCATCAATATCTATAACATCTTCAGCCATCTTGAATTCACTTTCAAAGTTAATCAGGCAAAAATGCAATGACCAAACGGCCACTTACCAGTTCAACGCCTGTGAAAACTCAGCGATCATGTCTTCACTGCTCAGCTTTAACAGGGAACAAGCAGGAGAATAACTTTGAACAAATCAGGACAGACCTTCAGTGTTGACACATATTTAAACATCGGACATGCTTACTGTGACGTGAGGAAACAGAGAACCGTGGAACGATGAGGCCCACTGGAGCAAGGCCAGGATGCAACCAGACGTCACTGACAGCCACTTGGGCACTGAAAGAGTTGCAGCAGAGTTACTGGGTTTGCAGTGCTCACCATGTGCAGCATCAGGAAGTACAAAAAAAAAAACTACTTTAGTGCATCACATACCCTCTGCATGAGAGGTGGTAATTTCATTGAGCAGCCCAGTGAAGCCACCATCCCGCCTGGAACAGACAGAAGTTTAATAACTGATCTCTTAAAGCCAGAGTTAATATCGTCACTATGATCTCATGCTTTAAAGACTGATGCCAGCTGCTGCAAGAAACATTAACAAATGGATGGAGATTTGCAAGACTGAGGTGCAGAAGCATCCTTTCATTAAACTGAGATGCTTTTTTGTTCAGTGGAATTTGAATCTTCTTGATTTTCTTTTTGGCTCTTTTGAAACTTTGGACTGAAAGCACGTGCACACACAGAACCGCCACGCTTGAAAGAAGGTCAAACATCTGCCGTTACTCAGAGCATCTTTTAAATGTTTGAATTTTTTTTAAAAAGGCATGATTAAGTCAAAAAATGTTGGAAATGTTTAATGTTTTTGAATAACTCACATTTTCTGCACATTTATATTTTACAAGAACCTGGCGTTGTAAAGATGACAGCTCAAACTCCAGAGAAGGATCAAAACTAAAACTATTGCTGGTTCAACTGAAACACGGCACCTGCCTCACACTATACATGTGATCAGAGCTTTAATTATATACAGGTCCTTCTCAAAAAATTAGCATATTGTGATAAAGGTC